AAGTTAGAAAAAATAAAAAATCTTTACCAATCATTTCATAATTTTTGATAGGAAATTATGAATAGGCCAGTCTCCTCCAAAAACGGTTAAATTCACCAACAACCATCTAACTTTGTATTTATTGTTATCTGACAATCCAATTTGATTTTCTTTCATTATGGTTACCCAATTTTATAATTAGTGTCACCATGGTCACCCAATTTAATTTTATTGTACTATGACCACCCACTTTTATAAAATATTTCACCATGACCATCCAATTTTATATAACGTTTCACTATGATTAGTCAACTTCATTTCATTATTTTCACTAATTTTAAAATGGTTAAAATAGTAATTTTGCATTATATATAAAATAAATTTTTTAAAAAAAGGGGAGACAATAAATTTTTTTTGAAAAAATATAATAAAATAAAAAATTATTCTTAAAAAATTTACCTTTTTAAAATTTAATTTATATATAATGTAAAGTTATCATTTTAGTCCTTTTTAAAGTGAAAAGTGGTTGGATGGTCATAATGAAATGTTATATGATTTTGGATGGTTATTTATAAAATTGAATGATCATAGTGAAATAAAATTAAATTGAGTGCTAAAATTGAGTGGTTACGGTGATAGTTAGCACAAAGTTGGTTCGGCCGCCGGTGGATTTAATCCCCTCCAAAAATCTAGTATAAATAACATATATGATATATCTCAGCACTAAGTTGCTTTTTTACATCGTCTCTCTTCTTTTCTCTCTCCTCTTCTTGCTTCACGTTACGCACGCAGAGTCTATTCGGACTCCGCCTTCGCTTCGATTCATCTCGTTCTTGTTTATGAGGTAAAAATCGTTTGCAAATCGCAATTTCTTATTCCGTTGGACCATTTCGCTTTATTTCAATTTTATTTCTTGATGTGTTCTCAATTTTATATTCAGATCTGTTTTAATACTCCTTTTTCATGAAAAAGTCAGGTTACTAGCTCTTCTTTTTTCCAGATTTGTAACTATTTGGTCCGTTAATTTTTTCGGTTTAGTGGATTATTTAGATCTGGAAATGTTTTGATTTCATCTTCGAATATTTTTAAAATTTGTTTTTGTTTGCTCGTTGTAGAATTTAATACCTAGAACTGGAAGGGTTCGTTTCTTTTTAATTTTTATTCATATGATTTTGTTTTTTTATATAGAGAGATCTAAATGAAAATTGTCTTTTACTTATAATTTTTCGTTTATTTTTTGTTCTCATGCAGCTCGAAGGAGAGACCCACTCTCGGGTAAGATCATTTCCTTTTAAGAATTACATTACAAGGAATTATTTGCAATAGGATGATGATAAATTTCTATTATTTTGTTTACAAGAAGTAACAACACTAAGTTGAGTCTCATTCTAAATAAATACAGAGGCAAAGACTCTGAATTTGACAATATATTTGAAATTAAGTCTACAAACAAAGTTGCATCGGATTAGATATTTGCAATATCGTCAATTAATGACAGTTTTTGTCTGCCTATTCTTCTTCTAAAATATTCTTGAGTTCACCCTGATCTTTCAAACAAGAAATACTTATTCACCATTCTATGCAATACAGGTCCTTACTATGTAATCCAGATATTCCATTGATTTATCTTCAATTGGTCATTTTTTCATCAACAGACACTTAGTTCTACAAAACATGTTCTAGAAACATCTCTGAAGAATTTCTTATTTTAATTTGATAGGTGATTTTTGATTAGTCAGAATTCTTAATATTTTTCTGCATCTTGTCCATCTCATTCTTATCCTATGCTTTATAGAGTTATCATTCATTGTTAGGAGTTGAACTTCTATACTATTATGTATCATTTTTTTACGATCAGATGAGAATGATTTTGTTTTGGAATTCACTTGAAGTCTATTTTTGTCATTTTTTGATATCATGTTTTATATCTAAACATACAAATGCTAGCTAATATGTTTTAACAATAGCAGTCTTTTTCCATTTGTTTCCTAATGATGTTACCGTCGCAGATTCCATTATTCATCTGATGATGTCCCGCTAACAAATCATATCTAATTACAGTGGTACGCGGATTAAGACCCGCAAACGGAATATTGCAGCGCCGCTGGACCCTGCGGCATTTTCGGATGCAGTGGTCCAGATTTATCTGGATAATGCTGGTGATCTGGTAATCCTTCATGTTTTAAAATTGTAGGCCTTACTTGCCACTTCCATTTCTTTGCATGTACGTGCCCTATTGTGTGCGTGCACATGCTTGTGGGCAGGTGTAGACTGAGTGGAAGTCACTGATGTTTGACTGTTGTGCAGGAACTTGTTGCTAAGAGCATTGAATCCTCAGATCTAAATTTCTCAAGATACGGTGACACCTTTTTTGAGGCAAGTAACTTGGATATTTTTGTTCCCTCCTAATTTTGCGATAGTATCAACTGGCAACATGTTTGTGCTTTAGACCTTTTTCTTCTGGCAACCGAGAAACTGGTCTATTTTATTGTGTGCATGCGCATGTAAGGGTATTCTCCATTACCACAAAAATATGGTTGAATGGAGTTTGTGCACCAAACAGGTGAAGAATATCCTTTATGCTAGTTAGTACATGATTGTACATGTCAACAAATTAATGGGGAAATTGCACCTAGAGTTTTTATTCTAGTCCCTAATTTCAAGTTTTAGCGCTTAGGTCCTCAAAAACGGATTCCTTCAACTAAAAGTAAGGACATAATTACTTTCTTGAAGAAAATTCTTTATCACTTTTGGGTCAACCTGACTTTAATGGCTAAACTAGAGGAATCCGCCACTGGGACCCAAATGCTACAAAATTGAAAGCTGGTGAGCTAAATTCCAAGAAAATTTGATGGGGACCATAGGTGCATGATTCCCTAGAAAAATCAAATGTAGTTGTAGATGAACTCACAAACAACATCACCCTAAAATAGAAAAGGGAAGAGGAAAAATAGAGGTGATTTTGGCTACGAGGGTAGCAAATTTGTTCAACATTCAAAAAAGAACAAATTTTTAAGACTGTTTTGTTTTTCTATTGCACATTGCATCTTTAGATGAAATAGCACCCAAATGCTTAGCTCGTAATCCTGAGCTATGATAATTTGCCCTTCTAAAATCACGTGTCGACGTGTCGTGGCTGTGCTTCTTAGCATGCTGTAGCTTGTGCTTACATATTGCATTATTACAGGTTGTCTTTACAGGGGGCCGTACTCAACCAGGCACAACTAAACCGGATGAAGGGGAGCGCCATCCTTACTCTATAATTGATTGTGAGCCAAAACGGGAAGTCATTTTACCATCTGTGATATATATTCAAAAGATCCTGAGGAGAAAACCCTTCCTTATAAAGAATCTTGAAAATGTTATGCAAAGATTCTTGCAGTCATTGGAGCTTTTCGAGGAAAATGAAAGCAAGAAGCTGGCAATTTTCACCGCTCTTGCTTTTTCCCAGAAATTGTCTGGTCTCCCTCCAGAGATTGTTTTCCAGCCACTACTCAAAGATAACCTTGTTGCAAAAGGGCTAGTTCTTTCATTCATGACTGATTTCTTCAGGGAATATTTGATTCACAATAGTCTTGATGATTTGATTCTAATCCTGAAGCGGGGTAAAGTGGAGGACAATCTTTTGGACTTTTTCCCGTCTGCAAAGCGGACACCAGAGGCCGTCTCTGAGCATTTCACGTAAGCATACAATTCTGAACTACCATGAATATGCAGTTAAATCAAACTTTTCATTGTGCATCAATTAAATGAACTGATTAAAATGAATGCCTTTGATTTACGTTGTAAATAGGAATGTTGTATGATCAGTTATTCAATATATTCTTATATCTCTTGGGTCCCAAAGTATATTTTGTAATGATTGAAGTTTTAAAGAACTTGATGAAATTCCTTTAAAGAGGGGGGGGAGCCAGACTGCCTCCGCAAAGAAGCCTTCTTTTTGCTTTGTCAATGGAGTGTAACTCTCAAGAATGTTGCAGCTACTCTGCCAGGTTATACCGTCTTCTTATGCATACATGTAGATAGTTGATGGTAAATAAATGATGATGTTGAAATATTCAGTTTCAACTTTCGAAGCAAATGCTTGAGAGTTAATGCCGTGACATTTATTTGGCAATGGAGTGATTGTCACTACATTAGAAGATTCATGCAATGCTTTGGCTACATAACTGGTCTACTATAGTTTGCGTCGTCTTATTCCCTGCATCTGATGAGCAAGGGTGTATGTAACATTTGGGATAAAATGCATTGACTCAAGAAGTGGACTCCTACTTTGGATTTGGTAACAGCAAGTGTGATTATAGCAATGGGTGGAGTGAGTATTAATTCAGTTAATGCTAGTAAACTGTTGAAATGAAAAACTCTGTATTTTGTGCATTTAGTCTAGGTACATATCATTTCTGATCTAACTTCCATGACAATTATAAGATTATGTAGTTTTACATCTGAGTTTTCCAGATATAGAAGTGCAGTTTAGGATTTTGTTGCCTTGCAAATTTACTCTTCAATATATTGCTTATTTGCTTTGCACTGAATGGTCTTTCCTTCACTATATTGTTGGAAATCGCAAGCCTGTCTCATATTGACATTGTAAGAAGCTTGAATTCACCAAAATTGTGAGAGTTGGGTGTAATCGTTCACCTTATGGACTATTTTCTAATTGACTACGCATTATTACCAGTTGAAATTCCTCTTTATGCTGAACTTAGTTATCTTTGACTGGTGTCTCAGTAATGCAGGGCTTCTACCCTTAGTTGAATATAATGAGAAGAAGATATTCGAAATGAAGCTGAAGGAAATGAAATCTATGCTAACAAGCCAGATAGCAGAGGAAGCTGATATATCTGAAGTCATAGTAACTGTGAAGCAACATGTCAAAGACGCAAAATTGCCAGATATTGAGGTTGTCAGGATTCTTTGGGATGTGATGATGGATGCTGTGCAGTGGTCTGGAAAGAATCAGCAGCAGAATGCTAATGCAGCTCTTCATCAGGTATGACTCGGAACTCACTTGTGAATACTTGTGCCAAAAACTTGTATTACCTGGGCCGTCATTTTTATGCATTCTGCTAATTGTAGCTCTTGATCTTCACTTTTTTACCTTTGAATGTTCTGTTAACGGGAAAGCGTCAGGCTTGAAAGTCGCAGAATTTTTGCAGTTTCTAAACATGATGTTCCATAGCTATGTTCTTATTTCACTGTGAAAAATAACCACAGGGAGCTAGTAGGTTTGTTATTTGGAATCAGATTGCCTATTTATAATATAAAATGAAATCAGTGTTTTGTTGGATGTATTCTTGGTGTTAGCGAATCATGACATGGATTTGTGTGGCCATATTAAAAATAAAAATAGAGAATTTAACTAGGAAGGAAAGTGCCACAGCACATTATTGTAGGCTGTGCTTCGCCAGAGACTCTTACATCATCACTTTCTGTGTTAGCGAATCATGAAATCAGCACTTTGAATGTTCTGTTAACGGGAAAGTGTCAGGCATGAAAGTGGCACAATTTTTGCAGTTTCTAAACATGATGTTTCATAGCTGTGTTATTTCACTGTGAAAAATAACCACAGGGAGCTAGTAGGTTTGTTATTTGGAATCAGATTGCCTATTCGTAATGTAAAATGAAATCAGTGTTTTGTTTGATGTATTCTCAGCGTTAGTGAATCATGACATGGATTTGTGTGGCCATATTAAAAAATAAAAATAGAGAATTTAACTAGGAAGGAAAGTGCCACAGCACATTATTGTAGGCTGTGTTTTTGGCCAGACTCTTACATCATCTTTAGCTGCTTTGAAGTTTTCATAGTAATTTGCTTTTTAGAAATGTTAGTTCTCTACTATCAAATTTGAATGGACTCATCAGATAATAATCATAATAAATTAAAATTAGTAAAACCTGTTGGTGGCAACATCACGGAGAACTAGAAATTGTCAGTCAATTCTCGAATTTTGTTGTCACGTCAATCTTTGGTCAAGAGCATGCAAAATTTAAAGATTAACATAACGCAAGTTCATCGTCTTCGCTCATGCTAGTAAAATGTTCAGTGGGTTGAGTAGTAATGATTGTTTGTGTGTACATCATTTTTCTTCCCTTAATCTAATTCAGGTGAAAACATGGGCAAAATTACTTAATACTTTCTGCACCACTGGAAAGCTAGAGCTGGAACTCCTTTACAAGGTTCAGGTCCAGTGCTATGATGACACAAAATTGATGAAGTTGTTTCCAGAAATTATAAAGTCACTTTATCATCAGGATGTACTTGCAGAAGGTACCATTCTTCACTGGTTTCGTAAAGGAACAAACCCAAAGGGCAGGTATGCAACTTACTATTTTGAAATTATTCTTTTCTTCTCTATCCATTTTCTGTGTTTTCATTTTTATTTTAATTAATATTGTTTCGCATTGCTACACTACACAGGCAAAGCTTTGTGAAGGCATTGGAGCCCTTTGTAAAATGGCTGGAGGAAGCAGAAGAGGAGGAATAAGTTTGTAATGATTTTGCACCTACCTTGTTTCGAGTAGGTGCTCTCTTCTGTTGAATGAATGTCGACTCCTTTAACAATGTTCGTCAAAAAATGCTTATATGTCCGTATAATTAAAGATTTTATTCGCGTCTTGATGTTATGGTTGAAAAATACCTGATGTATGCTTTACTAGAATAAAGAGCAGATTCTGTTTAGTTTTTCTTTATCTTTGGATTATTACCCCAGTTAACGTCCAGTATCGTGCATTACTAGTTGCTGAAAATGGATTATGATGGTGGTGTAATCTCAGTAATGTATTAAAAAAAAATTAAGATAAATAAATAAATGACTTGACGTCCATCTATCGAACTGCTTATTATGAATTTTTTCTCCGGTGCGTTCTCTTCTCAATACATGGCTATCGAATCAAAATTCCGATCTCGATACTATTGAAATATTTCGTAAATATTGTATATTGTGTCGTCCAATACGATTTAATATTACTTGATTTAAGTCAAGAATGTATAGTTAGATTACTTCAAAAAAA